TCTAAGAAGCACAAAGGCAAGACGGCATCAGCCCAAGACCCGTACGCCCTCAAGCGCCGGCTGAACGACAAGGAGGCGGAGAAGATCGCGACGTCCGGCACCTCGACCCCCCCTGCAGCCTCCCACCTCCCCCAGCCGCACACAGCGCAGGGCATGACACCAAAGTGCCGAGCGCTAACAATACCCCGGCGCCACCACCCCCCCACCCGACACACCCAGCGCCATCACCCCCCCATCGAACACACCCAGCCCCCCGGCGCCCGGAGCAAAGGAAACGGAGCCGCACCCCCTGGGACCCCCCTCCAACAACCAATGCCACCACGAAGTTCGGCATCGTGGTACACGGTATAGCCCTGAGAAAGAACTTGGGGAATGTATGCAAATGGTTGGAAACCTTCAACAGGGGGTTGTGACAGACTGCCGGGATCCGGTGGCTGAGAAAGAAGTAGACTCTCATTAAGGAGGGAAAGCTCATAAGCTCGGTCGTGCTCTACCTGACGGAACGCACCGAGACCACACCGGGAAGAGTGAGATTGGGAGGAAAATGGCTGAAGTCTTGCGATGATGAATGGGACAGAGTATGGAAGGCTTGGTTTCTTTTCGGCCTCACTTTTCTTTTCCTCCTCTTTCCGCCTGTAACGTTGATAGCCACGGACAAACACGGACAAGACATTTCGGTTTGGGGTTTTTGACTTCTTTGTTTTCACCCACGTCACTAGCGGGAGTGTGGTCACTCACCCTTTTATTTTTATCTCTTACGTACCTAAATCGCCATAGCCCATAGGGAGGCATCTGATTGTGATATTAAAAAAAGACAAAAAAAAACAGGGGTCTTGAAGACTACGATCAAGCAGGTCACTCCTGACGCCCACAGCGACTGCGTATTTTAGCAATGTAGGTTTGGCTTTAAGCGCACTACATTAGGATCATGGTAGCCCTGCCATGGCGAACAGCTACAAGCGGGGTCATGTGATATAAAAAAAAAAAAAAAAAAAAAGGATCATGGTAGGGAGGGCTGTCTGACAAAAGGACTTGTCAGGGCTCTAGAATACTTTTTGAATTAGATGAGAGCAAAAGTTACATGTATGCATTACCCTCCCCAACTACCGCAAATGCGGTACAAGACACTTAACTCACATGTTTGAAGGCTGCAAAATTTCTCAACTTGTAAATTCCATTTTCGAAAATAATAGCGAAATAGTCTAGTCAACAATGCTGTAGTCAAGTTGGTTTTGAATGTGAAATGGAATACTTTTGCTTCATCACTATTCTCCCAAAGCGCCCTGGAGCGTAGATTATACTCACCGACTCGGAAAAGGCACTACCCACCCCAATCCAGCACGCCCCACTATCTTACTTTCTAAACAACATTCTCCAGCTAAGAGATTTACTCTGTGTGCGCCGTACATTTTCCAAGTTATCCCAATCCAGCCCAATTTCTGCACTGTACATCCCCGCAGCGCATCGTTCGCCACACGCTTGAATTTCAGCATTTCAGCCCGTCGCACCTACGTGTGCCCTCTGGCATACCATTGCATATTCCGGTGAGTCCTCTAATCTATACCAGACTAGGTATATTGCCTAGGCAATCGAACTGGATATTTCGTACCAAGGCACGCCTCTTCTGACATCCGTGTGTAGATTAAACCCTGCCCCAGTGTTTCATCTGCTCCCCAATATCCTCACGTTTGAGGTAACATGACCACATGATAACTGCTGCCCTATAAATTCCACTTAGAATCAAATATTCTCCTGTTGAAAAACAAATATCGAGTAGCGAGCGGAGCGATCTCTGGTATGATGCCAGTGTGTGGGGAAGTCAGGGAAGTCCAGTCCTCTCATTATATTTGGTAGACCGAACACTTAGCTATCGCTAGCCACTATTCTTTTAACCTGTTCTCTGCAACCTTGTGGTATCCATTTTTCCATATATCTAGGCTCTAGGAATCCCCGTCACGTATGAGAGAAAACATGATTCAATTCAGCCTTGTCCTGTCCCCTAATATTCCCTTATATTTTACCCATCTCCTAACACACGTACGCCATTCAGGCGCATAGAATCCTTGACGCGCTCATACGCATCCTGCGGAGAGCCTAGTCTATGAGACACTCTGTAGTACCAGCGGATCCCTCGACCTCATTCCAAGGACATATCCAGAAGCCACAGAATTTGAGCCCTGAGATCGTTGATATATTTCCAACTGTTCGCCGTAATTACTGTTCCGCCAGCTGCTTGCATCATAAGTATCCAGATTTATTATCTTGAGGTCAGTAAACTTACCTGCCGGTAGGAGTTCTGCAGCAAGATCGCATAAATCGATTATATGCTACCGCAGAGTTATATTAAACGGGATTTTTGAAATTGACTTGAATGCTATTCCCCCCGCGGGCATATGCCCTTACTTAGGGCGGTTGGAGCAAGTGTTGGAGCTCATTTGTTGTTATCATCCAATAGAGGTTTAGATCCTGGTCCTTCCATGCATTTGAATAGGTTCTCAACTTTGAAGGTAGAGAGACGATAGAAGAATTTTAGAACCACCTGATAATTTCTGTTGGTGGACTATTGCATGAGCATATTGCCTCTAAGTGTTTCGACATCAGGATATACCGGAAGCTGTTTTTTTTGGTTTTTCGGTCTTTCGGTCTTTCGGTCTTTTGAGCGACGGTGGTCATGATGTAGCATTTCTGAGGGGTTGACATATTGCAGTTTAAGTTGCCATTTTGACTGCTCTCGTTTAGGCTATCACTTCTTGTGCATTAGTTTTCCAATGAATCAGCCAGAACTTTATTATTTCCTGTTTAGTTTCATACGTGTTGAAAGCACGGATGCGGCAAAAGGTGAGTTTATGAATTCCCAATAGCTATCGAGAGGCGATCCAATTTCCATTATACTCACCCCCACTGGCACATGGGCAATCAGCAAATGGCAGGGTAACAAATTCTGAACATAGTGTATGCTCCAGGACTCTACTCTGCTGGATGGGATATCCAACTCGGTGGAAGAGGCAGTTCCCTCAGTACCAAAGGTGCGAAGGGAGACCATCACATTTCTCCATCGCCAGAGGCCCATAGTCAAATTTGGTACTTCGATGGCCTTGGTTTTCCATTGAGGATTTGCTATAAACAGCCATATGACTGGTATGAAGGCGTTTCTTTTGAGTCTCTCATTTGTTAGGAGCTGTTACCCACAACCGGTGGAAGAGCAGATTCATCCTTAGGCGCGAAAACGCCTACGAAGTGCCTAAGTGCAGGAATGTTCCTGTTTGCAGATCAAACGGATGTAGCGCGGGGTTCATTCGTATGTGAGTGAAGGAAGGTGCTGGAGGCAGGTTTTTTTTTTTTTTTTTTTTTATTTTCACATAACCCCGCTTGCAGCTGTTCGCCATGGCAGGGTCCCTGGACCGAGGTCCTTATGGCCCGGAGACAGGCACCTAAAAACAAACAACAACTCACTATATACACCGACATTCAAAAGGGAATAGAGGAAATAAAACCCATGAGACAACCCGCTATGCCGTCAAGTCCATTTCCTCCACCTCCCTCCCCTTCCCCTTTCTGTCCACCTTTGAATTTCTATCCCAGTCATACAGGCACGAATCGTACCACTTGCCTGACAACCTTACCTTCGCTGGTGTTTGGCTATCCGATTCCACCTCCCCCTCCAGGTAGATGACAACCGAGCTAGCCTTCTTTCCCTCCCTCCTCTCTTTCTTCACCAACCATCTTGCCGCAACAATCTTTCCCATCCATGGGTTCGCATTCTCCATCCAATCTCTTACTTTCCCGAGTTTCTTTGTCACCGCAATTCCATGTACTACGATCGCACGACCGGATTGCGGGAGTGTCCTTTCCTTTGGGATTGGCTTCGGAGATGGTGCTGGAGATGGTTTCTTGGACATTTTCTGCTTGGGGGGACTGGTACTCTGTCCCCCTTTCACTTTTTTGGACTGGAAAGCAGTGGACTTTGTTCGGCTTTTGGGTGGTGCCACTGGAGGTCGGTCAGAATTGTCCCCTTCCGGGGGTGTGCTTGGCGGGATGTTCTGGGAGACAACTGCTGCATATGACAGCTTTGGTGGTTTCTCCGGGTCAGTTTGTGATTCCCCTTCCTTTGAGGGTTTCCTCAGGTGCATATTGTGTATTTCTGTGCATGATTCCGTCTTCACCGCTAGTGCAAGAGCAGCAATGACGCGATGCACACTCCTGATTTCACACAGGAACCTGTCTGTTGGTTCAAAGTTTGGTCTTGTCTTCTGGTCTTTTATGCAAGCATGTATGTGTTCGATGACATCCCCCACGGCATCAAGCATATCGGACATATTGACTCCGCCGAGCCGATCTCCGATAGACTTGTACAGTGGGGCCTCGAGACGGGTACTCTTGGCCAGAGTTGTTTTGGCACCTACGGGCATGTTTTTTGGTGCTGGGCTGCCCAATGCCATGAATCTATTGGTCGGATCCATGGTGGGAATGCCAAGAAGTCAGGGATGGTGGTGTGCTGGCAACGGAGGAAGGAGCTGAAAATTTCCTCAAAACTTAACCCCCAAGGGGGAAACTTGAGGAGTTGGGTTTTTTGGAATAAAAATTAGATCTAAAGACTCAGCGCACTGAGAGCTTTCGATCTATGTATGTTTCGCTGGGGGGGACGCTGTGGTTGCGGAGTGGCTTCCGAGCGCTCGTCCTGTCGAAGTGGTTGCCGCTGGCTGGAGGCAGGTGAGGAGAACAGCAGTCCTGGGTCTGCACCTAAGCAACTGTATGTCGGAGTCATCACGAGGGGGCTTGAGGCTTTCGATGGAGATATGTGCGTTCTGCCCCTTGCGGATTCTCATGCGGCAATGAGGGTGGAGAATGGGGACAGAAACGGCTCTAAAGGTTAGAATGATGGATTTAACAGCGGTCGTGGAACCGATAACGGAGGCTGCGTGTTATGCGGGGTTCGAGCCTTGATTTTGGACAGGTAAGGCAATAATTAAGTCCTCTATCTTCGTGTATGCCAACAATCGGGCTCAGTTGTCTAATGGCATGACATCTGCTAGATAAGGCTACATCCTGTGAAGTGAAAGCAGGGCTGAGGTATGAGGTGGGTGATCTGGGTTCGAGTCCCAGCTGAGCCAATATTTTTTTTCCTCTCTCCTCTATATAACTTCACAGGTCTACCGCCCCAAGGGCGATGATGAGCGAAGAAAACAGAGATTACAGAGACAACGACGAAGGCATCTCATGTCATCCATGACCCTCTTTTTTTTTTTTTTTTTTTTTTTTTTTTTCATTAATCGCATGCCACTAACCCTCATTTGCAATGTACCTGAAACAAATGAAAAAAGATGAAGTCACAACAAATGATCAGCTCCAGTAACTGGTTAGGTTTTCAACATAGTGAAGAAATGATCGAGAACGTCGACAGGATACTGTATATTAATAATAGTACACACTCAAAGTTGGTAACGCCAGATACTATATGCCAGTAACAGCAGGGGACATTTAAAGTATTCAAAGTCGGACTTGTTACAGTACTACGATACCAGAATATATGTATTGCAATAGCGGCCAAATTTCAGTAGCAGACCTGAAAGTGGGTGGCATTTTTGGTTATCTAAACTGTGCACCCACCACCTCCATTTTTTCCACCAATACGTTGCAGAGCCTGACGAAGAGCCCCCTAGTACTGTGCCGTACTAACTCAAGTCAGAGCCATCAATACCCTGTCTGTGTGAGCAGCTGCTGCACGGTCTTTTCATGATCCCACTACGCGACTACCTGCAATCCCATCTAGCAATTTCTGTTTGAGGCAAATACCTCGGGAGCGGCAGCGAGTATCGGCGTGACCCAACATCGTATCAATGATCCCATATAGCTCAATGATGCCACATAGTATCCATGACGCCATAATGATGATGAGAGATGACGTATGGTAATGATGCCATGAATGACAACATGTTGATAAGAGTTGCACTTGTTATTTCGCACTTGATATCATTCAGAATAATGCAATGAACTACGCGCTGGAGGCCTATACATAGAGGCCTAAACGGCCCTATACAAACGTCAAGTTCCAAGCGTTGTCCTGAGTTACACCTACATTTCGCTGCCATCGCAGACACCGTAACGGTGAGCTCTCGATGCAGTAACATTATAGAAGATACTTGTGCCGTCCCCTGCTTGTCATCGTGGCAATTCGTTCTCCTCTATAGTCCTCAGATACCAGTTCAACGAGTCTTTTATGTCGCGGCAAGCGATTAATGATATAAAAATAACAAAAAAAGAGTCTTTTGTGTGCTTGGGCCAGATTATGCCACAATTGCGGGAGTAAAAAGGAATGCATGAATGGGTATGCATGGAGCAACTACAAACGGCATGGGTACAAACACGGATTCCCGTTTGCATATGACGCTTTCATGAAATTTGTTAGTGTTGTAAGGGGACTTTTTGAGAGGCCCTTCCACTCCTTTTTTTGTAACTAGAACAACCTCAGCGAATGCCAGATCTGTGATTCCTGTGTCTCAGTGTTACCGTGTTCTGCTGTGTTTCCTACCATAGTCCCTTGAGCCGCTCAACCCCTGTTTACGCTGTTTTTAGGAATAAACCGTAAATGGCTTTTTTGTAGTAGTCCGGAATATACGGCAAAAATGCTGGCTTTGAATTCGCTGAATAGACGTTCCATTTCCCTGCTTGATGCCCAGAAGCAATGCCGGATGTTCAGATAGTGGCGGAGTTAAGGAGTAGTTAAGTCTTCTACACTTCTACATGCTAACAGTCCAAGGTTCCGTGGTCTAATGGTATGACATCTACTAGATAAGGCTACATTCTGCGAAGTGAAAGCAGGAATGAGGCATGAGGTGGAAGATTTGGGTTCAAGTCCTAGCGGAGCCAGCCATTTCTTTTTTTTATTTCTACTTTAAGGAAGTAGCGCCCCACTGCTGGGCACTCTTGAGGAGAGCTTGGGTTTTGTGGGGAAGAAGCAAAATCAACGCGCATACGAGCAGGGGGGGGACCACTTTAAACTAGAGAAGGCAATATCGGACCAGTGAGAGGACTCCAGACTGGCACTAGAACCGGAGGCGGGGTGCGCCAGAGGGTAAAGGCGCGGAGGAAGGAGAAGAGAGAAGTGGAGGGCTTTGGAGGAGGAAAGGTCATGGAGTGGAGTAGGATGGCGACATCAAACTTCACTGCATTGCGACTGGAGCGAGGAAGGTGTGCTAGGTGGTTGAAGAAGCTAGGGGTGGCGGAATCGGATAGGTGCAGGTGTGGGGAGGTTCAAACGGGGGAGCATCTCGCTTTCCGATGCAGAAGTCAGGAGAACCGCCCAGAAGGTTTTGAGAGGTGGAGCGACATGGGAAAGGAGTGGAAAAGAAAGGCGGAGAATGGGAGGAGTATGGCCACGTGCTACAAGCGGGGTTATGTGATTTAAAAAAAAAAAAAAAAAGACTGGCACTAGACGTCATGCATTGCTCGGAGGTCGAATACGGCTGGTGCTCTATTGTAACGGGATATTGTATAGCGAGCCAGGTAAATAGCTTCACGCTAAAAGATGACCTCGGACAAGCATTTCAGGATGATAGCTTCACGCTAAAAGATGACCTCTGACAAGCATTTCAGGATGTCGGTACAATATATATGGGTAAAAGGGATGTGACCTGAGTGCGTATTGCAGTCTCGAAAGTGTATATAAGCGGTGTTCATGGCTGTGTGTTCTCCTTTCCTTTTTCTCTTTACGCAACCTCTTGTATTTAGTTTCTACTAAGTAGAGTGGTTACCTGCTGAGCCGATCCGCTGAACTGCTGTACCGCTGTGAACCGTTGAACCGCCTTGCTGCCGCGAACTGCTGAACTGCCGCCTGCCGCCTCCTGCCTGCGCTCCGTAGATCGCCGTCATCCACGGGCCCCAGACCACGTCCGCCGTTACATCTATGCAAAAGTCTGACTAAGCGGGTAAGCGGGTAACGAGACTTGATAGTGGCGCCCGCCCCACTTACCATGCGCTAGGAAAAAAAATCACATACGCGCTATCGATCGTGACGCGACCCAACACCACCTGCTCGCCTGAAGTGCGCAAAACAATCGCCGACGAGAAGTCTAGCTACGGAGAATCAAAATTAAACTAGTCATAAAATTCACTAGACGATGGTGGAAGGCCGAGACACAGAAGGCAGAATCCTCGAATCGGGGCGAGCAAGCTCACAATTGCTGGAACGTACGAAGGCGCATTGTGAAGCTAGGGAATCCAGCGTGAGAAATGAGCAATTAGGGGCAAGGGATGACAAGGCACTCCAAAACAGGGAGAGACTTGAAGTTAGGGGAGATGAGGATCATGGAGAATGTGAGACATGCGGCAGCGGTCAGGAGTCTAACAGCCCTTTGGATACGGACATCGTGTTGGGCGGCGAGAACAGCAACGCTGCGTACGACGGAGATATATTAGAATTTGTGCCAGAGATACTCTATGCGGCGGCGGAAAACGGTGACCGTCACGAGGACCAGACAAAGGATTTGCGGAAGCGTCCAGGTCGCCTCTCTAGCTCTCCGAACCCACGCGATCCGAAAGAGAATGTAGGAGAGAGAGCTAGGCGAAGGTCGCTTGTTCCAAGCGATGGTTTGCTAATGAACAAGAAACGGCGAATGGTGGACAAAGATAGTGGAGATGCGAGGGTTAGGCACAGCGGGGTAGGGTCTCACGAAGGAGACAGAGCGCGCACCTTGAGTCCGTTAAATAAAAAAGGTGATATGGTGGGAGAACTGGAAAGGCCAGATGGGCTGGGGATGACGGCTGAGGCCCTGGATGTAATGGCCAATATCGATCCTACTTCTCAGAGCATCGAGTCCTCTTCATACGAAGAACTCCTGGCAGACTCCCTTCAGGTGGACAGTTCCGATGATCCCACCACAAGAACCCCCTCCGAAACAGGCATTAAGAGCGCACCCGGGCTCTCCTCACCTTCCAACCCCACCCTTACAATTGTCTTCCTTTTCCACTCAACCTTTATCTCCGTGCCTTTCCCTTCCCTCGCGTCTCCACCTTCCTCCCCCACTACCAGCACCGCATTGGGCCCTCTCACCCCATCAACATTCACGCAGGAATCCCTAACTTCCGTCCTCCTGCCACACATCGAGTCGCAACCTGCTCTCCTCACACATCTCGAGTCCAGGCGCCTGTGGCCGCTCCGACTTGAGGCTGTTGGAAGTGAAAACGTGGAGAAATGGGTAGGTCGGATGGAGAGGGAGAGGGACAGGAGGGGCGCGAGAGATGTCAGTCCGCAGTGGGTACATGGGGATGATGCGGCGGAGATGGGGAGGTGGATAGGGTGGGTGTGGGGTGTTTGTTTGGAGAGGGAGAGCGGAGGGAGACAGGACGCCGAGGGAGATTGGGAGAGACAGCAGAGTGAACTCGGGGAAGAGATGCTGTGGGCAGGCGTAAGGTTGGGATAGACCCCTTGGATGACCAGAGTGAGCATTTTACATAACTTGGCGGAAGTTATTTTGTATGAGTATTGGAAAATGAACATGTGCAAACGCCACCATTCGGCGCTACAATGGTGGGATGAATAGAGGAGATTCAAGAATTAGCAAATGGAGACATCAAGCTCGAATGATACGGGAAACACGAATGGGTTTATTCGAATATAAGGTGTACTTATTTATACTCAATGGGGGCTATAGCTGGATATTGATGCGATCGTGGATGTACCAATTGCAGTATTGTGGCCTCCCCATGAACATTTTCTGTTCGCGAACAGGCCGGCCTATTCGCGAATAAGCCAGCTCCGTGGGGAACATACGGTGTTTAACATGTTTCGAGTGGACCGGATCATACGTGGTCAGCAAAAGAAATGCACATAAGTCTCACGAACTGTCGCGAAATGTAGCTATCAAGTATTACATGCTCGCTTAGCTTTGCAATTTTAATATATCGACTACAATTCCACCAAAGCACCCTGAATACCTGAATAATTCGAAAAAAAAACAATCGCCACGATATACGTTTTGGTTTTCTTTTTGAACAAGCGGACACAGTGATCACATGTCACCTAGAGCGAAGATACGTCACCGCCATCACAGCGGATGAACTAATAGAAAAACCAGGAAACAGGAAATAGAAAAAAGAACAATTATGCTATCCAACGAACATTACATGTGGCAAACAATTTGTGTATATCAATTGTTGATTTTTCAAAAACAAAAAAAAAAAAAAAAAAAAAAAAAGGGGACCACGCATTCGCATGTATGTTTGTCGGTTGCAACAACGACCTCGACAGAACGAGCATTGGAGAGCGACTCCGCATCCATAATGCCCCCCCAGCAAAACCTTCATAGATCAAAAGTGATCAGTGCACCGAGTCTTTCGATCTAATTTTCATTCCAAAATATTCAATTCCTCAAGTTGCCCCCTTAGGGCGAAGTTTTGAGGAAATTTTCAGCTCCCCGATCCGTTGTCTTTTTAATTTTTTTTTTTTATTTCATTACTCGCGTGCCGCCTGGTAGGCTACGGCGAGGTGTTAGGTACATAAAGGACAAATAGTAACTGATAAATCATAAAGAGAAGTAGAGTGTGTGAAACAAAGAAACTAGCTCGCTGCCCAGTCCAACACCTCAACCAGTTTCATCCCCTCGTTCTCCCCCTCTTTCTTCTTCCCCTTCTCCCCCCCTTTGGCATCTTCATCCCCGCCTCGCCTCCCGGTAATCTCTTCTTCCACGCCTCACAGTCTTTTGTTATGTGTCTGTAATTCTCGAGGGCTTTTCCGATCCGTTGTCAGCCACCGACTCTGCGCCAGGAACCAATAGGAGCACCCAAAAAAGGAACCATCAGCCATTAAGAGAATGCCACTGGAGAGACCACAGACAAGTCCCTGGTGCAGAAGGAGAACCCACACTTAGAGCTGGGGAGTCCTGACCAAAAAATTAAGGATGTTTTCATAAATATGATGGATATACATGAGGCACTCGGAGACCTGATAGTAGCCACTCCTCAAGTCACTATACTAAAAAGATTTCAGGAAATGTCCCATGGCATGATGGAGGATATTCAGTCGTGCAGCGCTTGTGGGAATGGGAAATGGCATGTTACCACCAGAGGTACGAGCGCTACAGCTCAGTAAGGTCAGAGTGGTTGCCGAGATTAGCACTAGGCCTGAGCTACCACCCCCGGTACAGCAGGAGCAGAAGCTGACCTTCGAATACACATGCCGCTCGGAGGTGGAGCCAACGCCAGAGCCGGCGCAGATATTAACGAGCTCTGTCACAGTGCTACATTCAGTGGAACCAGTGGAAATGCTTCCCGAGGCGAACAGATACAACCTCCGGGAACGCCGCAGTGCCCACAATCTCTGAACAGATCCCAGGCCTGCGAAAAGTGGCAAGAATTGCCAGGGAAGCCACAGTTAGGCAGCAAAGCAGTGAAAAAAATAGCAGGATCCAGCCATGTCACTCCTCTGGCTCCTAGTGCCTCCCCACTCTCGCTTCCTTGCGCAGTAATTTGGAGGAGTTCGATATGACATACATCACTACAGAAGAATTCCATCGCTGTATATCACCACACACACCTACCTGTCGTGCTACATTGGGATGAGAAGAGGTGATGAACCCTCCCTATATTACTACAGAACAGTCCCAGAGATGTACATCACCACATCCGCCCAAGGAGTCTCAGAGACATTCGCATCTTGCCATTGTGATACATGGAATTGCTCTGAAGAAGAACCTAGGGAATGTCCGCAATTGGCTGCAAGCTGAAAACAGGAAGTTAGCACGGATCACTGGGATTCGATAGCTGAGCAAAAAGGAAAAGCTCATAGATGAGGGGAAATCACCAGCTCGGTTGTGATATACCTAGAGGAGCAAAGTATACCCATAGCCCAGGCAGATTCAAAACCAGCAAGAGTGAAATTAGGAGGGAAATGGCTGAAGTCTGACCAGTATGAGTGGGATAGAACACCTCGACTGGTAAAGTGAATTTTGCATACTTGAGTTCTCTGATTGTCCCGCATGACTAGTGTGGATCATGGGCTATAACGTTCTGTTGTGCATTGATGTTTTACTATCAGAGGTTGTGGGTGCTATTACGGTTCTGTTTTTCTACCTCCATTACTATTGGAGATTGTGGGTTTTTATAGGATGCGGAATTTTATCTTACTCTTCCATTTTTCCTTATTCTCATATGTCGCCATAGCCCATACACTGGCACGCGAGTAATGACACGCAAAAAAAAAAAAAGAACTAACAGCTTAACCCAGAATGTACGAGACCCTGCGCCGTCAACGAGAGTATTTTTTCGCAAGGTGCTGAACTCTGGAGAGAACGTTCCGCAACAAAAGGGCTGAATTTTTATTGTTCGTTTGCATATGTAGTAATGGCCAAGGAGGTGCAGTTTGTACTTAACGATTTCTGTTTCTGTTCGAATTTCTTGCGAATTTTTGGTCCGATGGGCGAACAAATTCTGTCAGATCCCCAAGTCCGCCGTGTAAACTATCATACCTCAATCTGATTATGTTAAGCATTTTACAGTTGCTTGTATTGCAAAAACCCTCCTCCATCACTCTCTGCGAGATGTATGGGGTCGTGTAACTTTACCCGTTTCGGTATAATGCACCAATACTACCGTACCTAGAAATTCTCACAACGAGCGCTAGGCCAAAATGCGGGGTCCGCATCATGCGGGTGTAACAGGGTTCATTTGGGCCTTTTGGATTGAAATAGTAGCTGAGAATTGAGAACCGCCTTCTAAGAATCGAAACAAGATTGAAACTCAATCTTTTCGCCTAGGTTTTGGCTTGAACTTTACCCAAATTTGCAAGGGCCAAGTTGTGTTATACTTCAGGTAGACGAAGTAACTAAAGTATGGCAACTATATACATAGAGCATGCACCAGCACCTCTTTGTCTGTCAGTCCGGGCCGTTATGCCATTCTTGTTCTACAGCAGCTGCATTTATTCCCTGCTACCCTGGAGGATCATATCTTGATAAAAGTGCCGCCGAAAAATAGTAAAAATTCCCAGAGTATATGTCATCAGCTGCTCTCGTGCCCAGACTCTGTCATCAGCCTACAGTAAGTCGGAATACTTTGTTCAATGATGGGGACTGTTTTGAAAGGGTGTCACTGACAGTGAATAAATGCCAGCCACTAGGTTATCCAATCGTACAGTCAGTTCTACCAGCCTCGAGAAAAGGCTTGGTTGGCAGCTCCACATCATGAAGGTAAACCTGTCCAACCTCCATTGGAATAGATAAACCCGGCATCTTCAGTTTCAGCAGGGCTGCATACAATTGCTGAAGGAAAAAGAAAAAAAAGAAAATTTTGGTTTGGCTGGGACTTGAACCCAGATCCCCCACCTCATGCCTCAGCCCTGCTTTCTTCTCGCAGGATGTAGCCTTATCTAGTAGACGCCATACCATTAGACCACCGAACCTTACAATATAGTGTATAAGCCTTAACTATCCCTTTACATGGCTCTGAGTTTTCCCAGTAACTGGCACCACTCAACGAGAGAGTACACTACGGCAGCAAGGGGACTAAGCAGGTGTAAACAATTTGGTCTTGGGAAGGGAAAAATCTGGAACAAATAACGGCGGAAGGCAGGGCATTTAACGTCCCTAATTAGGATCGCATAGAGCGTGGGCCTACTCCTCCTAGGCCCAATATCATCCAGTCGCATGAGGTTTTGTTGGGGGAGGGCTGGTGACCATACGCACTCCTACGAGCGCCTCGTCACATAACCCCGCGCAAAGGCTGGGGACGAGGCTAGCGTGCAGGCTACTAGGGGACGTTAAGATATTCAACATGGCGCTACAAGCGGACAATATATTATCGGGTAATTTAGCTCCCCTCCTCTATAATATCTACCTCTTCCTCTCTCTTTGTCTATAATCCTATTCCTCACCATGCTCCTTGTATTCCTAAATGGCACTTTTACTTTCTTACCTGGTGTTCTTCATTAACGGTCTAGTTTCTCTCTCAAGTTCCCACACATACCTCCTTATCAACAGCTTGTCTTTTTAAAGGACACTGTAAATTTTATTGTGCATGAACTTATTGACCGAACCAGCATATCCAATATCCTCCCATAGTATCTACACACCGAGGACACCAAGAGCACTTAAAAGACGTATCATTCGGTTGATTCAATAGCTTCCAAATGCCTCTCAGTCAGAAATCAAAGAGAAATCAAAACAACATTTCTTAAACTCTCATTAGCAGCATTAGGAGCAATGACTGAGGTTGATATTGAGCAAGATATCAACATGAAACTCCAGCGGGGTGGTAAAAAACTCAAGACAAAGGACCAAAGATGTCTTCCAGTCATTGGACCTATCACCGGAAAGGATATTTTCAGGCTTAAGAAGCAGCTAGAGATGGGAAAGCAAAAGAAGCAACAACAGAAAAAAAAAGAGCATGCAAGTCAAAGACGAAGCAATCACAGGCCAAAAATAAGCGTCAACTGCCGCAACATACCTACAAACAAGCTAGAATTGCTTCAGCGTTACCAGAAGCCTGGTCTGATATGGATGACTCTGAAACATCTGATGTTGCCTCAGATACCGCTTTGGATACTATACTTGTTCAGACACCACTTCCACCCACAAGACGCCAGCTGTTTCCTACCTCGCGCCCACCACCTAGGCCCACAGGAACATCTACTACAATGGCTGTGAGACTCAGGAAATGATTCTGCAAAAGTTAGACCTCTAAGTGTCTGTCCTTCCCAAATAGGTATGTTACCAAAATCACCCCACCTGAAAAATTTCTGTGTGCTTAAACAAGGTTTGAAATAGGTTTCTACATGTATCTAAATGCTTTGTAGTTACTTTGAAGTCAATTGAACAAGTCGTTGAATTTTGAGAAGTCATTTATTAGTCACCCAAAAGTGCGCAATATCCCGGTAGAACACAGTAACTTGTAGTCCTTCAGCTGTTTTGCTCGTAGCATATCTGGCTGGCAAGTAGAATTACCAGTAGGCTTAGAGGAATTAATAAGAGAACTCCAATTTTTGTGTAAACTATGAATATCTCGTTCCAAGTGGCCTGTCTAATACTATATTGTTGATAACCTCAGCGATCAATGTCATATATATTAACGGTGATGACAATTGTCACCTTACTCACACCTCCTCCGAAGCCTCCGCAGATGTCGGCATTACTACAGCGCGAGGACGTGTGCTGATAGGTACTAGTGGTGGTGGTACCAACATGTAGTAGATAACGCTGCAGTAAGGAAACATGTCATCCAATCGTAGGAGGAGCCACAATGTAGTCCCTAATGGGGCTAGACCTATTCGTATTAACTTCAACCCTTCATCAACGCAATATGCATCATGCTTAAACATGGAATTCACCTTTTTTTTTTTAACAAAATGTATATAGACATTACGTAAATCAGCTTGGAGCTGTTCCCCATTGCAGGGCATTGAATTTAGCTGAAACTTTACAGTCGTATCGGTAAATAAATGATATATATATCCGTGATTGATTGTATTCTATATGATGGCAGGAAAGCCATATGGATGGCAATAAGTTGCAGTCAACGACTTTTGGGGCCACACCGGCGGCAGGTGTTGTAACCCCAATTGAGACGCCAAAATCCTCTCTCGCTAGATTGCTCCAATATCAACATTGTACTCAAGCGAATCACAAGCAAGCAGGTCCCAGAGGCAGGTCACGTTGACAACGCACATACTTGATGATAGCTTTGGTTGCGAAAGTATTGAGACCGAAGTTGCTGTACTAGATAGGTAAGGCTGTTACTACTACTTCCACAAACTATCCGATAAGCTTCCGTTTTACTCCAGTAGACTGTCTTGGAAAGAGTAAAAGCTCCGACATTGCACGTTCACTTTGCTTGGGAACCTATCCACGTTTGACCTGAGAGCTTTCGTTCAAGCTATGACCCAACCTGCGTTCTTTTAGACTTGGCCGTTGTGTAAAAATCATGAACTTTCATGACAGCCATAGCACATGCCATACACTATGCGTTCCATGCAAGGTATTCCTCACTTGGTGCAGAAGCGCCGTGTATAGTGACCGGAGTTGTAGGCTAACCTTTTCCTTTGTTTTCTTTTTCTTTTTGGGTTACTCAACCCCGCGTAGTGGCGACCAGCTTATGGCAGGGATACGCCAAGCTTTGTAGGTTTCTAGGGATGGAGTATCCGCACCTTCGGAGGCATAGGTTAATCAATTTTGAGATATTCGAAGATTCTCTTTCTCAGTGATTCTTGTTTCCAGGCACTGAAGCCATTTTTATAGCAAGAATTGACTTCGGGCACCCACAACCATAACACATGCCCGTATGCATTTCCAGGGCGTGAATTCCGGCCTTCCCCTCTGCCTAACTTCAGTTTCAATTTTTCTTTATCTCTCATATACTTACTCTCGCCGTAGCCCTTAGGCCGGTATGCGAGTTATGATATTAAAACAAAAAGGCCCCTCTGCATTCCGGCATTTCCGGCAAACATCCCATCGCCTTCGGGCTGCTACATGTCGCAGTGAACAGAGATTATGTTACTGAACTCCAAAGGCCTAATTCCTAGCTATTTTTTGAGTCACGTAGCCCCACATACAGGCCACCAGCCTATGGCAGGGACCCATATACCCGGGTCAGGTTATAGGCCGCTAACTACGTACTCTACGTGCACACCCCGAACACCCAGTACCATCCCAGCCACCCTAGATCAAGGCTGGCCAACCAATGCTCGACCGGATCGCCCTCCACATCCTCCTGCTTCCATCCTTTCCCCTTAGGTCCTCCCAGGATTGCCAAGTGACTTGCGCCCCATCTTTGTCCTTCTCTAGGGCCGTTCCAGTTCAGTGCACCTGGACACCACATGCTCAGCACTCCATGCCTCTCCCCATGTGCATTGCACCTCCTCACCACTAATCATCCTCCTCCACATTGCTCCGCCTTTTCCAGTCCGCAGCCAGGTGTAATTCGTGAGTGCTCTCCTGCCCCATCTCACAAATTTGCCCTTCCGAAATCCCTGGTCGCTCCCTCTCCTCCTTTCTCTTTCGAATTAACTCCTGGCGCAGTCCACCCTCAGCGGCCTGCTCATCATACCTCATGCACCTGGCCCTCTCATCTGCCATCTCATTGCCCTCTATCCCCCACATGGGCCTTGACCCACGCAAGCCTCACAGCCCAGCATCCCTCAACCTCCGCCACCTTTCTGCCGTGAGCTCTACCACACATGCCGGGTCCGCAGTCCTCGCTTTTCCAGTTTTCCCTGCTGTCTTGACTGCACAGATTGCTTCCTGAGAGTCTGCAAGCAGTAACACTTTTGCCCGAGGGCACCTCTCATAGCTGCGACCTTGCCATCCCACACAGTAGCTTTGGTGCCAACCCACCGGGAGCCTTCTGACTCCCCTGCCACCACCTGTTTGCAGCACCATCAGCCTCTAACCCCTCCTTCCTCACTGCGTCTGCCATCTGTGAATATGGCTACGGAGTCACCCTTGGCCTTGCTGAGCGCCTCTTCCCACTTGGCTGGGGTATCCTCCTTGCCCAGCCTACGGTCGGTGACCTCGATTTCTGCGCCAAGTGGTTGAACTTCTCGCCCACAGGACACTTTTCTCATCGTCATCGACCTCAAGTGTGCTGGAAATCTTGCCTGCTACAGACTCGAAGAGGTATCGACATTTGAGAAACGCCATTGGAGCCTCTCATGAGCTGCTAGCTACTTAGCCTTGCTTGTTTCAATTTGAGCCTCCGTGTGGTGGAACATCACGGCCTCAGACGTTGAATCCGCAGAATACGACTGTTGCCAGTGACGTAGATAAGTAAACTATCTGAGGAATGTGGGGACCAATGTAGGGAGGTTTGATCCAACTCTAGATATTGCTTTGCGATGGACGGTTTATCCTATGAAAAAAAAAAAAAAAAATCTTAATGCTACTCTCTACTTCTTCTCCCTGGCCATTAACCTACTCCTCAATTCCTTCTTTTCATTCTGAATTGTGCTTTTCTACTTCTCTTTCCTTTCTTTAGCTTTGCCATCCCTTCTTCCTGGTCCTTCCTCAGCTCCTTTCTCTAGTCCGTTATCCCCTCACCGTGCTTTTTCTTCAGCCCCTCTCTCCACTCCGCCAGCTCCTGTTCCAGCCGTTTCTCCACTCTCTTTTCTCCTTGTGCAATTGTGCTTTGAATTCCGCGAGCTCGTTTTCAAGCCGTTGTCTCCACTCTAGTTCCTCCTTCTGCAATTTTGTTTTGAATTCCGCGAGCTCCATTTCCAGCCATTGTCTCCATTCTAGTTCTTTTTTCATCAATTTGGCCCTCCACTCCTCCAATCCCCTCCGCAGCTGCATCCTCCAAGCCTCCTCCACCGCGCCTTCAACGGTGGGAAGAACAGCGACGGTTTTCGACGGGGAGGTGAGAGGGGTGAGAAGAGCACTGGAGAGTGCACCGGAGGAGGTACCGGTCCTGATC